TTCCGGGCCACCGAAGGCCCAGCACACGGTTACACCATGGAATGGTAGCCGGGTTTTATCTCTTGGCCGAATACATGAATAATACAAAATAAAGATGTTAACCAACAATAATAGTTGACAAGGCGTTAATTAGATCGTTACGTACAATATTGAGTCATGAGCATCGGTATTGAAAATGTCAGGGTTTGTTTATGTGCAGCGTGTGTGCATGAGAAGTAAAAAATAGATGTTGTCACAATGTGCTAACTGAGACAACATTTATTAAATCCTGAAACTCTCCAGTTTAATTAAGTCTTTACCTGGCCATCTGATGTCTCGACAGCCGCATTTATCGATGACGTAACGAGCCCTGCACTCAAACTGACACGCAGGAACGGAGTACTTATAGTTGAACTCTTTCAAGGAGGCTTCTGTGCAGTTTGACTCGTATGGTGCCTTCAAACTTGTTACCTAAAGAGAATGAAACAAGTTGGGAGCGAAGGGACATAGTGTCTCCAGCAGTCAGATGGTGTCTATCCTCCCCTCCACACCGACACCCCCCCCCCGACCCCCGCCCCACAGTCTGGATACCGGACAAAGACATTTTCAATATTTCACTATTTCTGATAAATCTTTTTCTGATAATTTTTTTTTTTGTGCGGCTCAATGATAATTATCCATTGGTTACTGAACGTACCGTCTGCTGACGAACAGCCACTGAATTCTCGAAACCAGGCGTGATGGAGAAAGCAAACTCCTTGACGATAGGAAACTCACCCTGGGGGTGCAGTAACACCTGACAGAAGAGCCAAACATCTTATTATAATTCGCCAAATTTGCTCTCGTATTCCCATTTCCATTCCGTGATTATAATCTTATCACTTTTGAAGATTGAATAACGAATAATGCCGGTCAGATGTGTTTAAAAGTCAGGCAAATACACTTCGCCAAAAAAAACCCCAGTTTGATGACAAGTTATAGATAACATGAACAGTTAGTATCTAAAAGTTTCTACGATTTTTTCAGATACATGTATTACATATGCCTATGTCGACTCTCACAGCACTTTTATGATTTGGCCTAATCGCAGTATCCATTTTTACGTCCGTCTTCTAGGACGAAATTCCACTCTTTAATTCGCTTAGGTTCCCAATCGTGATGGTTTTGTCCGACGTGTATTTGCGCCCTACATTTACAACCTTAAGAAAAAGTTGAATTTCGACTCTCGGGACGGTTTCACCGAGTGATACGAAACCATTGAAAGCTTACTCAGCATTAACGCGTATAATGTCTATCTGATCACAGTGAGTGTTGTACCTTCATCCCAGCAGCCGTGCTCTCTCCGAACGTGTACAGATCCTGCTGGATGTTTAACCTCATGTACAAGCCGTTCCTGCTGCCCGGGTTCCGCACCGTCAACACCCCTCGCTCTCCGGCAGGCACATCGTTGAACGTGTGACAGAGGCCGTAGTCTGTGAGACGCCGAGTGAAGTTCAGATGCGAGCAAGACTCTGTCCCCCACTGGCATTCCAACAGCATGTCTTCGATGCGATGAGCCGCTTGTAAGGTCACGTCAGTCAGGTTGTCTCCTTGGTCTGTGGAGGGAAACAGCTTGGCGTTTGTGAGGTCCACGCTAGTGTTACTACGCGCACCCGTCCTACTGAAAACCTGTGGGTTGCAAACCAGTAATATGAATTATCGTTCAACAAAATGAACGGAATATCACTTCCGCAAACTTCCCACTAATTGGATTGACCTGAAATATGTACGAATCGACCAAATTTGATGGATTCGTGTTTCCATCATCGGCGGGACCTCACTCAAAGGCAAATGAGGAAGGTCCTGCAGCAGAGGGGGCTGTACAGATCATGATCAGCCGTAAATTTATCCTACAGCCGATCGCCATTTGGGACAAAGAATGATCCGTCCATTCACTGCAAAATAGAGCAACTCCCAAGTCCGATTTCATCTAAAATCTTTCCCAGTACAAGTTCAGATCTGGGGCCTTTCATTTCTTCAAACCCTCAATTGTATAAGGTCCAAATAACTCTTCATTAATAAAGAAATGGTTATTAAACTATTGTGATTTGGTCGGCGTAATCAATTTACCTGAGATAGTTTACAAGTGCGAAAGTGGCGTATCAAGCGGGGAGCAGGAAATTCCTAACCCAGGCGACAGTTTGTCATTAAAATCATTATAAAAAAACAGGAAATGAGAGCACCACCACCTCATAATCGCTAATAATCGTAAATCTGTATCTTATAGCTTACGTATATGACATCTGTAAGCCCACTTTCCATATCGACGTTAAGCTTATACAGACAGTGCACAGACAGTGAGCAGAACCGTCAATCCTCTGCGGGATAGTCCGCGTTGTCGCATTTTCAGAAGAATTGTTTCCATATGTCTGCGTTGCAGTTTGGGTCGTGTTTGATTCTTATGTCGATATGAGCACTAGGCCTTTAACTGGATGCAATTTAATAGCTCTGTTATGCTACGAATCAAAGGGGAAGGTAGGAGGTTTGATGATATGGTCAGTTTAGAACATTTTGTATTCGCTAGCGCTGGTTGCACAGGATGGTTATCACAAGTGCAGATTTCTGCAGTTAGCAGAGCCGTGACATTGGGCTCTTGACACGAACCTGCTTGAGGAGCTGGAGGGTGTGCGGTTCCAATGCGTCTCTACGGAACTGGTTGATGTTGCATATCGTGACGGCAGGGAAGGTGATGCTGGGTACGTAGTTTACGGAGATGGAGCTGGTCTCTGGATACTGGTACATCAGGAGGAAGGCTCGAATGACGTTGATGATCAGCCAAGTTGTCATACCGAGGACCACGGCCAACCATATCAGTCTGGAATATAAAATGTGTTTGTTGTATCTTTTCCATTTAACAATATTCCTCAAAAACAATTGTATACACAGAGTCTCTCTGTCCGTGCTATAATAAGACAGATGTAGCAGTTCATACGTTTGCCTTTCTTGTTCTTCAAGTAGTCTATTACGATTGTCATAAGTTACACACCACCACAATAGAAAACAAATGCCGATTTGACTTCGGAAAACAGTCGGATTTCTATTTCTAGTTAGGTCTATGGGGAATGGGAATCTTGTCGAATTGTAAAACGAAGAACTGAAGAAGATAAAAACCAAAAACAAATCAGTCATAAAGTGTGTGTTAACCTACATGTCCAAGTACTCTAAACAGTATAATTTTCAAGCCCAACGCAGAGCCCACGTTAAGTATTTAAAGCCGGCATCAGTCTGTGAGCATCTTTCAAAAGTGAAAATTTACACAATCCCGCATTCTCGGGTAGTAATCAGAGACTTAAAAGCCTAGTCCTAGTCTGTTAGAATGAAAGGGTTTGGAACAAAATGTCATGGCTGAAACGGGAGCTCAGACTAATTCGTCTGAATAAAATTCACTCTAAACGTCTTGTCCTTAGTTTCGGCTGGAAATATATTTCACTATATGGAAATGAGAGACTTTGCGGCGTATCACGAAACTACAATGTTTACCTCGAACATCTAAAACCATCATTATTATTCAGTCACGAGACAGGGACATTGGTGCACAATATGATTGAATGTTCATTTGATGATAAAAGTATGAAATTTGGCACACAGTCAGAGTATGTCATGGAAAAGATATTTGGCTGTAGGGCTACCGCAGATTTGTCCTTTTAAACAAATCATGGAATAACAAGCAAAGGCCGCCATTTAGAAAATTTGGAAAATTGCTTGGTTTTCTTTCTTTTTTTCAATGGACAAGTTTGCGATGGCCCTATAGCCAAACATCTTTTCCATGACATATTCTGTTTGCCAAATGTCATATTTTATCATCAAACTTAAAAATCTTATCACCAACCTGCTGTACTGATTATGAATGTTAGGAATACAACGGGTATATTCCTTGTTAAAAAATATTGTTTTAAGCCACCATCCTTTCGTGCCTAAAATGAACAGAAACAAAGCTTTGCAACTGTTGTTCCAACTTTAAACCTTATTCTACCGACCTGCGAATGCCGTGGTATGTGTTGTTGGTGACATATCGCAGACCGTGAAAGGTGGTCTGATCTCCGAACTCTTTAAAATCGGCCGCTAGATGGTTGCGGTTCCCGTCGTCTGCCATTGATGAATTCACCTGTTCCTTGCTGCTAGGCAGGGTGAACGTCGTGTTTCTGAATGACATGGTTGTAGTACTAAAACGCCTCTATATTTCTTTATCCAGTTTTTTTTTATGGTTACATAAAGCTGTATACTCCATAGACCCACTGCCGCTGAAACTGTATTGTCTTGTCCACCTGTACCGCTTTACCTTTTGTTGCCGCTCGGCATGACTAATTGATTGTTTTACAATTGCGGGTATAGTGGGGCGCTGTGCATGTAATTAGAAGAAGCCCTGAGCCTATTATCGGGATTAATTGTGGATTACAACGAGGTGAGAAAGCTACTTCAAAGGAGATTTAACGTTCAATGAACCCGTTCATGTTATTATTGCTTTCCTTCATCTAAAGCCCGCCACACAGACGAGAGCTACATGCGGCCGGGGCAAAAAAAGTTATTCGAGGCCGTCAGCTCATAATGAAAACACATAATTCGTGTTTGTTGGTCGCCTGATTAAAAAAAATGGGGACAAAAGCCAGCAAGTTTTAGAAGAATACGATGAGTCAGTTGGCAAATCAAGAATGGGGTGGGGTGGGGGCTAATCATAGTTGGTTTGAAAAGCTTGACATTTGACTAGTGACTGAATTATTTATACTGACTTGTGATGAGTTGTGATGACCTTATTTCAACGAAATGTTTTATGTCACCACTGACATATTTTGCCGTACAAAACGTGAGATTCCAATGAAATTATCCGACATTACATTACAAACCCAAATGTCGGGACTATTGTTTTAGTGAAAATCTACATGTAGTACTTTTAAAATACAGGATATTATTATTATTATTATTATTATTTATGTGACACTATCAACTTTTGTCAAATGATATATCTGTGACTCGGATCCTTGAGTTCTGCAGTTTATTTTCTGTGAAGATAAAAGAGATACAAAAACACGTCTTACTCAAGTCTTCACAACACAAAGATAATAAAGAAAGAAAGTTATAAAGGTAATGCAATAACTTGATAAATATATTACAGTAGATCAAAAGTATACTAATTATAAACGGGAATAATACTATTCACAAAATCTTTAAATGTTTTGTATCTTCTCGCCAAAAGTATTATGGTCGCCATCCTGGCTTTGTGGTTTGCTTGAACCAGAAGATTGCTCAAAATACTTAATCAATTTACGGGATTTAATATAAATACTAGTCTCAATCCTATCTTAGACTAGAAATTCAGTATGCCAACTAGTCCACCGATATCAAAGATCCACTAAAGAATGGTTATATACGGCAGTGACAAAGTCATCAATTCCAAACACTATTAAGGGAATAAATCTTACCGAATATCACCAAAATGAAAAGATAAATCTACCATAGATGGATGTATTGATAAGGTAAACATAATACAATAAAATAAACTTATTAAAAGAGACTGAAATTGGTCATTACCTGTGAAGATGAAGAGATACAAAAACACGTCTTACTCAAGTCTTCACAAGACAAAGATAATGATGAAGCGCGCGAAATATTCGACAGGGTGTGACTGTGAGGGCGCTTCCTAATTAGCATAAACAATACAAGTTACGTAATGGTACGGCACTACTATGTCTTAATGGGGGTGTCCTTCTTTCTGCATCACAATTTACTATACCCGTGACATTTATTTGACCTCAACAAAGAATTACAAACAGTGATACAAAACCAAACAAACATTACACAAAAGTGGTTGAAAACGCACAACAAAAGGATATGGAAGCCCAATATATAGGCCTTGTTTTAGTACAAACATCATTTAAATCACGTATGTACTTTTCAAGTTCAAGTTATAATACGGCTTTTCAACATAACTACCGTTTTAAAGTAATGTCTTTAAGGATCACCAAAAAATAAGTGTTCTTTCAGCAAAACGAAAACAAAATCACATAAGGATGTGTGTGAATTGTTTTCGTTTTGCTGAAAGAACGCGCACCGTTTTTGATAAGGGCCTATGTTCGTCGTACAAACTTGCATCCGTCTTCGAATTCTTTCCTTAAATGATGACATAAGGTGCGACGGAGTCAAAGTCGTCTGACCTTTCCTTTCAGGGATACCGGAAGGTCATAGTCTGGTTAACTCAAGATATAGAAATGAGCCTCAGATCAAAACGAACCATGATTTCTTCAAAACGTCTATGTGGTGTTAATAAAAACCCGGTAAGAACTTGGACCCTGGTCAGAAGATGTTATAATTTATGTGACTTCATCATGACGTCATCATGTATCAGATTACGAGCGTTTTAAGGCCAAAGTTTGAAAAAAAAGATATTTTGAAGTATATATTTGAAATTAATTACAGTATCGTGTTCTCTTTTCGTGAGGCGGTGCAATAAATATTGAATTTAACTTGAAAAGGGGAGCATTATACTACAGAAAATGATTGTAAAGGAAGTGCTGAGTGAGGAATGCCTTACGTTAATAACAGCATTTTGACGTCATCGTTCAAAAGGGCTCACACTGCAGGCGGCTGTAATTGTTTTAATTTACCATTAGTCAAACATTATTCTAAATTACCCCTACTTAGACCTATTTTTAGGATAACCGCCTTTTTTTTGCAAGGCTTCAAAATCATGTTATCGGACCGCAAGTTATTATAGGGAGAATATGAAATGATCATAACTTATTAATTGTTTTGATATGAGTCACACACTTTTAACTGTTTAAGAAGAAATTGTACGAAAGCAAGAAAAAGAAGTGTTCTATGTTCTATCAGATAAGCTTCACAGTTTAAAAAAAAAGTCTTATGATTGTAAAGATTGTTTAGTAATTAAAGTAAGGGGTGGCCCCCAAAATGTTGTGCAAGCAGATATGCTTATCGCTAAATTCGTCTTATCAGTGAAAACGTCATAGAAACCCATTCGTGCAAAACAGAGCTGTAACATATTTTACTCAACCCGTGACTGATTATTTGAACAATAGCTAGCACAATGGTTTCTCCATTGAAGGGGGCCTTCGTGATGGAAGTGCAGTGTGCCCGGATCGGTCTGAAGGCTACTGCGTGTCGAAACCACGTTTCTAGGCTGGTTCCGTTTTGGCCATCAGTCTGCGACATCTTTTGTAGATGGTAATGATGATAAAGTCCGCCCATTCCACCAGCGTAATCAGACTCATACCGCATAGTAGGCCCAGGTAGCCCCCTACATCACCTGTAAAAGATTATCATCATCGGTCAGTAATGACCTAACATTTTGTGTACCTATATGGCATAAATTAGTGTTGATCTCTATTAGGATGATGGCTGAAATCATGTTTTTTTTCATTAGGATAGGTACCATTATTTGCTACTTCACTATCGAAATCTATACGTACATAACTTGCCCAAGAAGCTCCACGTCAATTAATAAGCGATATGCATAACTAATCTACATTAATAGAGTGACACGGGTTCATTTTGTTCGTTTAGTTTCCTTCGACGATCAATTTAATTATTTGTTCAGTCGTAACAATAGGCACAGCGGCGTATCCAAGGGGCGTTAAAAACTCACGACCCCTCCCCCCCGAAAAAAACAGGACTAAAATGTTTAGTCCTGTAAGTGACCATGGTCAAAGGGGTCTACAAGAATTGTGCGCCCCACCCCCCCCCCCCCCTACTGCAGCATCTACCCCCACTCGCCCCTTCCCTTTTATGGCAAGAATCCTGTCTATAAGCTGCTGATTAACAGGCCGTCTTTTAACACTAATTTTGTTTCTGCACTGGACACAAATCCACAAAAATATGGGGTCCTCCCAAAAAGCGGGAAAACACGTGATGCCTGACCATGTAACAGTGTTGTAGGACTTGAGTCAGCACTAGGACCCCAGTCGGACTCGTTTCGTGACTGGGACTCGACTCAAGTCACGCTAGACGAAACACGGCGCCGCTGAAAATCGAATCCAAGTGCTGCGCACGCACGCCTAGGGCCTGCACGACGAGCACCAGGGCCTGGTGCCATGCCAAAAAGTGTCCCGTATTAAAAGGACAACACATTTTGGGTCTGAACAATTAGCATGTAGACAAACAAGGAATACTATACACTGGGATTTACGTAAATGACAGAATGGATGACTGAAAAATATTCTGGAAAAAAAAAGATTCGATTTGTGAACAACAGGAACAAGTGACTCATGACCCCGATTCGAAGCTTGTGACTCCATCGAGACTCGGACTCGGACTCGAGGTTCCACGGTGACTCCATCGCGACTCGGACTCGGACTCGAGGCTTGTGACTCGGGACTCGGACTCGACGTTGGTGACTCGACAACAACACTGCCATATAAGTTCCATATCATGAGTCAGGGAAGAAAGCAAAAACAATTGTGTGCTCGATACTACTCACTTTGGACGTTTGTGAAAGTGTAGGCCTGTTGTTGCTCGATGTTCATGTACATTATTTCTTCGAAATATATGTACACATCCAGGAAGTTATCCCTGAAACGAAATTAATTAAACAATTTAACCAAGTTGTCCATGTTTATAATAATGTTATAAAATATAAACTAGAAGTGGGACGAGGCAAACCAGACAATAATTTGAATTTTCCACAGCTTGCGAAAATTGACGTTATGGTGGACTGAAACTTCAAAAAGGTGTCTTTGATATTTTAGGAACGTAAACGTCAGGTATACAGTTGTGTACACGAATGTCACATCAATTATGTCAATCAAAGACAGCTACGTGCGATGTGGCTTTGCATTTTATAATCTGTAACACTTATGTAACTTGCGAATACTCAATTTTACAATAAAATGTATTATTATTAGTTGAGGGTGATGGCTATGTGACCTACAATGCATTACAAGACGTCAAGCAATGTCAGGAAACCAGACTATTCACGTATGTTCCTACGCTCTTAACAGTCCAAGGCCAGACACAGGCCCAGATTAGGTGTTTTGTAGGTCCTAGGCACCAGTGTCCTATAGGCTCTACTATACTCCGCCCCAGGCACCAATTTCATGTTGAAAGCAAACCAAGCAAGTGTGGTTGGTCTAAATGCCTGTCGTCATCGTTAATCAGAACCACACACGTACATGGTGTACAGTGGTGAATTTACCAAATTACTTCGACTAATAATTCCCCCATTGGTCACCCAGCGAGTGCGGCACTCCTTTAGGAAACCCAGGACCGGTGGGGTTGACCCGATGGGCGGGAATGTACTGCGTAATGTACATGACTCATAACTGTATCCTCGATTAACCAACACGTGGACAGACAGGACACTACGGACAGGACAAGATAAACTATGATGTGACCTCCTATATCATCACTCAATCACTGCTGTTTTAACCTCCTTGTAATCTTCCGTTAATGCTGTACCCTCAAATAATCAACTAATTGGAATGCAATCGCCTCTGCAATGATAGCACTAGCTCCGTAGCCACCAGCTGTTAGTGCGCTTCCCGGTTTGAATCCTCCCTTTTTATAGCATCCAGGCTACCAGTGCCTCTCCCTTGGGTCGCAAAGGTAAGTTAACCTCTTTCCACTTCTACACGGACCAGAACTGAGTACCCAGAAACGAATCCCAAGTTTCCTCATCGGAATCCCACCGTGGTCTCACGTAAGTATTTCCAACAGTAGCCCCCGCACAATCGAGGTAGCGCACACTGTAGCAGCTCCTATTACCCGAGCTCAGCACTTAACACGTCCGTCCGTCCCAGACGACATCTAAACTCCAACTGACCGCCGCTGATTGCTGAATGGTTTTCCGCACTCAGTAATGCGCTAGCGCCCTCTATAGCTAAACATTGCTTAGTGACTTGCGCCTGCACGCGCTCGCACCGCACAGTAAATCTCGATCATTTGCGTTACAGTACCTACATGTGCATGCAGCAGTGTCAGTTGGTGAAAATAATGAGCGAAACGTTATTTTATTTTTCAAAACGTTTCTTGTGTGTGGAAAAGCATTGCAGCCACTAGTGAGGACCTCTAAACCAAATGTCCTCACTGTGCAGGTAGCGAAGACCTTGTGTGGACTTCCCCATATCCACACAAGGTTTCCCCTTTTCTGAAAAACAGTTTATGAGGTATGTTTGTTGTGAGGGTTATTAGTCACCAAAAAAAAGAGAGGAACAGTCAAGAAAATTATCATCAACATCAAAGCCAGCTCGAAAGAGTGTCCACAGAGCGAGTAAAAAAAGCAATTTATAAACGAAAACAAAGAAATGTTCACTCTTTGTTTGGTCCATGTGTGTGTCTGTGGGTGCAAAATGTTTTATGGCACTCTGCGCACTTTTTTGTATGCCCTCAAATAGTTCGTAGGCCAGTGTATTTTACGAAGGTCCCAGACACAGTGCCGACTGTTCCTATTGGACAATAATAACAATAATGATAATAATCCGTGCCAGGTCAGATTTCATACCGAACCCGCGTTCTATTATTTTCTGAGTCAAATAACACATGTCTCGGTGGGAATTTCAGCATTGCCATCCAGGTTTTTGGGTCAAATCTTCACCGTTTTCACGAAGAGCCACATATGTGGATTTTGAAGAAAAGCGTTTTCGAGATAATCGCAAAAGAAGTTTCTCATAATTTATAACTGCAAAAAATACCACTTTGCAACAACTTTGTGCAGCAAGGGAACCATCACACGATTCTACGAGAGCTGAATTTTTACATGAGCCTAGTAATAAGACCTAATATAGCAGTTAATTAGTGAAAATTAATTAGTAAAGATATGTGGCTCTTCGTGAAAACGCAAATTCAGGTTTCCGACATATTGGCCCTTTCTGTTCTACGTGTATTTCCATAGGCGCGCGTGAGCACGCGCGCACAGCTGAAAATGTAACAAAGATATGTGGCTCTTCGTGAAAACGCAAATCTCATTTGACCTACTTTTACGTATTTCCGTGCAATGGGTTTTGTAAGCGTTCACAGGGCCAAAATGTATGTGGCTCTTCGTGAAAACTCAAAATGCATTTATCGCGATGTCTGCCCCTTGCAACATTAATGTTACTTGGAAATTAATGATGTTTTGCTTACAGAAACATGTCAACATGGTTAAGTACATTGTTTTAAAGCAAAATATTGAAAAAAAGGTGTAATTTTGGACATATGTGGCTCTTCGTGAAAACGGTGACGAAATGGCCTACCTAGCAAGTGATACAGAGAAATGCCATTTGGCCTGAAAAGTGCCATTTTTGTGCATAAAAATATTTAGCCAAATAGAAACCAGATTTCGGGTCAAAATCTGACCAGGGATAATTTGGAAAGTACCTGATGAAATCCTCAGACATGTTGGAATCTCTCCGCATCTCTTCCAAGAGATGTTTGGCTGGCCAGGCGGCAAGCGACACCTTGCTGTCGTATGTCGTTGTCTTGCAGGCCATGGGACAGTGGCACTTTTCGCCGCGTGCTAGAAATTCCGCTGTCCGATAAATAATACAAATGAGTCACTATGAAGATTTTGGTTGGAAGGTCAACCATCCATTAACATTACCTAAAAACTACATATACACTAATTTAAGCCAATTAGTTTAACCCTATGTAGGACCGTGGGCAGAATGTTCCCCATATGAACTTCTTGTAGTAGCTCCGGAACCCTTTGCTCGATGGGCTTGAACGCTTGTGGCTTTTCCTCACTTGTATCGGCCGTTAATATGTTGCCAAAACAAATATTGTAGGATGTCCATGGTTGCCATGATTATCATAAAGTTTGGCTTGTTTGTGGGTCAACAACATATCAACTTTGGACTAAAAGTCACTGTGACGTGGCAAATGTAAATGCATGACGGGAATACAATATGGCTGCCATTTGTGCGAAAGCCTCTTTAAATTCACATATTTTGTACAAAAATGTACCGTTGTGTTGGTGTGCATTTCAAAATTGCAGAGAATTTAAAACACTTTAATTGTACTGTATTAGTGCCCATTTGGTTGAAACTCTCACTTGGAAACAAAATCACGAAAAAACGATGATTTGGAACCAAAACGTGGGTATAGCGCCCACTAGTGTTGACTTCGGGTGTCAAGAGTTGTTTATTGGATAAACACTGACTTAAATAGTTTGTATACCACACGTGAAAGGATTTAAATGGGCAAAATAAAAGTAAAGCGCCCTCTTGTTGTCACCGCAGCGCAACCAGATGACGTCATATTATAGATTACCGGCCGACTCCTGCCAACTTTTAGGAAACTTGGCCATATTATATGGAAATTAGGATTTTAGCATAAATAAGGCATAATTGAGGCACTTTCCCTTTATTGTTCAACGCACGATTTCAGATGAAAACTATCATTCTCGATTCTTCCAGGTGTATTTCTGTTTGTGATACTGTGCGTAGACAAAAATGAATCTTAAAATAAGCAATTTTGGTCGAATGAGGGCGCTGCGATGGCATTCTTGAGGCCAACACGTGGTGGCGCACTTAATTGCTTATGTTGCAAACCGTGTCTTACCTTCATAGACGTAGGAGCAAGTTGTCAACTTCTCTATGGTGCATATGTCTCCAGAACCTGAACAAACGGGAGTCAAATATGTCAGTTTCAAGAAGACAGCTTTCAGCAAAATGTCACATGCTTACACTATTTAGCAATATTTTGCAATCACCATTTCATTCATATTCCAGTTTGAAACGTGGGCATAATTCGTCACCGTTTTCACGAAGGGACGGGCATGTGGATTTTGAATAAAAGCGTTTTCGAGATAATCGCAAGAGAAGTTTCTCCTTTCTTAAAACTGCAAAAACTACTACTTTCCAACAATTTTATGCAATAAGGAACCATTCACATGATTCTCACCGGCTTTACGTACAATAATTCAAAGATCAAGTAATGCTGTGAAAATAATGCAAGATCATATCCTTCCAAGCTTCCGGGCCACTTATACACACAGTTACATTTCTCAAATGCAAGCCCTTCTTTACGTAATAACGTTTATACCCATAGCAATGACGATATATCTATAATAGCGACAAGGCACAAATTAATTCTACAATGAAGCCATGAGCTTAACATTTCAAGGAAAAAGAAAAGCTGCTAGTAAACAAAAACCAAAATAATAGCTCTTGTTGCTATGCGTTTGCTAAGATAAAATATATTTGTACATCATCAAAAACTTGCCAGTTGAGCCTCTCGTTAAAGACTTTACCTGGCCATCTGATGTCTCGACAGCCACATTTATCGATGACGTAACGCGCCTTGCACTCAAGCTGACAAGCAGGAACGGAGTACTTAAAGGGAAACTCTTTCAAGGAGCCGTCTGTGCAATTCGACTTGTATGGTTCCTTCAAGCTCGTTACCTAAAATGAGAAAATTATTTCAGCACATACAGTATATGGGCTCCGTGCGCCAACGAAGAGGGCGCGTTCTTACCACTTCTGGCCGAGTTCCACCGATTGATGCAATAAATTGAAGATGCAGATAATATTGGAAACTGGGACAAATGCAGAAATTATTGCATGACCTGTTCTTACTTATTTTGTTTTTTTTGTGCTTTGAACATGTCTTTGGTTAGCAGCTCTGTTCTTTTTCTTACAGGTTGCTGGTGTAGTGTTTTTAGATAATCAATTCGTAGTTATCAATTCATCCTAATTTTTAGTTAAGTGTTACTCTTTTATTGCCAACTTCGATTGTTGAAGCTTTTCCCATTATTGTATTATGCGACTTTACTTAGTTAATCTCATGATTACTCAATCTGCGCTTCATGCTATAGCTTTTCCTGGTACATACATGTACACACCAACATAAAATGTGCATGTACAGTGTGTATTGTTTCGCACAAAATGACCTCTCAAATAACAAAGCAGGGTCGGATCCATAAATATTTGCAGGGGGGGGGGGTCATCAGCAAATCAATGCTGAAATGTAAGATCGAATTAAAACAAACATGTTTCTCGTCCGGGGTTTTTGAAAAAAAGAGGAAGCGGGGCTTTTTTTTTTCTATTTTCTATTTTTTTTTCAAGATGGCCGCCATTTTAAAATTTCCTGCAACCGTTGGTGTTCCACTGTTCAAAGACACTTTTAAAATGAAAGACAAGTTGGACAAGAGAACTCTTGGTCCTCGCCTGCAAAGGTTGTTAACCAAATACATTCTTAGACGAATTGGCCATTTGACATTGAAGATTACCAGATCATTGTTTTTAGGTGTTAGTACTGTTTCATTTATGTATATATTTTTTTTATTTCTGAGAAATCAAGGAGACCAAGATGCATCACTAAATTGCTCCATTTCTTAAGAAGTAATTCTTACTTCAACTATACATCCTGTTTCCCAGTACAGCCCCGTGTGAAGTTCTTCATGCAATTAAAGAGGTTGCTTATACTACGCTGCATCAGGAGTCCTGTTTATTACGTCACGATTTACTATGTTTTATTTGCTGCCCCCAACGACGACTCTTACACAAATTGCACGTTTAGGTCGAAACAGGACCTGAAAAACATCTCTTAAAAGTACCTTTTGTACTCATTTCATGACAAACACAACGGTCGTTTTTATTTCATCACACCTTTAAGGCTACATATGCCCGAAAAATGACGGAAATGTCTTCGAGCATTCCACAACCTCCTTAATCAGTACAGTCAGTCATAGTATCCAGTAATTCCTGCACATTCAAATTGTTGTGGAATAAAGTGCAGTGCAGGTTACAATCCTAAACTAACGAAGTCTGTAGCATGTATTGACTTACTATTTCCCAACCCTATACTTACAGTCTGCTGTCGAACACCCACTGAGTTCTCGAAACCTGGCGCTAGCGAGAAGGCAAACTCCTTGATGATAGGATACTCACCCTGGGGGTGTAGTAACACCTGACGGAAGAGCAAAACATAATTCGCCAAATTTGCTGGCTCATTCCCAATTCCCTAAGTTCTAATGATTAGTTATGTAAATAGTGAAAATGTATCCAGATTTGGAGGTTTTTCGCAAAACTGTGCAGCACAGGTGTTTGCACAAATCCTGATTTGTTTCCAATACGTGTACTATGTATACCAAGGAAAAAGAAAGAATCTGACAGCATTCCACTCCTCAACTTGTCTTAATTATACATTGCAGTGGCGAGTCAAGTATTTATGGAAGGGTTGGAGGAGGGGTTGTGGGCGAAACCTGAACATTATCATGTTGCAGCCATTTGAGTTTTCTCTCATACAAATCAATCTAACCAAAGCGAGGCTGGAAGAAAAAATAGTCTGGTTCCTTTTTGCACAAAAACATTATCATTCAGTATTGTTATTGGATACAAGGAGCATGACTGAAAGAGTGGCAGCATGATAAAGCTCTATATACGCACATGAGGGTGCAATCGTCTGTCTTTGAAGTGATATAATACCAGTTGATAACAGGGGAAGCAGGGACAAAAGGCAATGCGTGCCTCAGGAAAAAAGGGGGAGCTGGGCTACTGATTACGCATCGTTTTTCTATCAATACTTATCTGCACTTTAGATGTGCATACGTATGGAAAATATTGCAATTTTGTATCAACGAATTCATAAAAGGTTTATTCATGCCTATCCGGGCAACATATGCCTGCAAGCAGGATTTTCAGTCGGATGGGAGATGGGGGGGGGGGGAACGCACGCCTGCGCCACTGCTGGCTATAAACCACTGCCCTCCTACTCAGTGTTAGGCCCCAAAAAAGAAAATAATCCGTCTCTGGTCAGATCGAAGTTTCGGAATTGATGCGGCGACGCGGTTTTTGTGTGTGTGTGTGTGATTTTTTTTTCAAGCTTGAATTGTACAGACGAGGTGGGTACTATTTTGCTTTTTTGTGTTCTCATTATACATTGGTGTCCTCCATAATTTGCCTTTGTGCCCTTTATCATTTGCCTTGGTGCAATTTCCCCATTCCTTGGTGCTCCTTGGTACAAAGATTTGAGGAGGTGTGGCAATAGAGGGCGCTGTTGTAGCTTCCGTGTTAATTTGAAGAAACCAGAGACCGAGTATTTTTTTTGGCCTTAATGCATATAATTTATCTGATCACAGTGCATGTTGTACCTTCATTCCAGCTGCCGTGCTCTCCCCGAACGTGTACAGATCCTGCTGGATGTTCAACCTCATGTACAAACCGTTCCTGATGCCCGGGTTCCGCACCGATAACACCCCTCGCTCTCCGGCAGGCAAGTCGTTGAACGTGTCACAGACACCGAAGTCTGTGAGACGCCGAGTGAAGTTCAGATGCGAGCAGGGCTCGGTCCCCCACTGGCATTTCATCAGCATGTCTTCGATTTTGTGAGCCACCGCCATGTTGACTTCAGTCACGTTGGCTTGGTCTGTTGAGGGGAACAGCTTGGCGTCTGCGAGATCCACGCTCATGTTCCCCTGCGCCTCCGAAGGCTGGAAGATCTGAGGGTTACCGATTATTATGCACATGGTTAGTAACCAAAAAAGTGGTCTAATGAGAAATGTATGGTTCGCTCCATTTAAAAAAATTTACATTGGGATAACCAGTATTAGGGATGACTAGTAACTGTCAAACTAGGACCATTCAACATAAACATCACAAAATTCAGTTTTCCACCGATGATCATGTACCATTTAAAAATATTGAAAGTAGGACGTCTTCCTGCCCTCAGGAAGAAAGGAAATGTGCACAGGAAGACTCACAAAAATCATCATGATTATTTCAGACAAAAAAATTGTCATATTTCAGATACATAATCTGTCAGGAAGAATAATGTTTCAGTTTTGGCAAAAAAAGCTCCTGTATTTGAATGCGTGTGTGCAATACCTGGTTCACATTGAGCTCAATAGCTTCAAATATCATTCCACGGACAGCTTTAAAACTTGAGTCATTTAATGAAATAGTCATGACCTCTCATAGCATATGTATCGATTTCAGTACATTTACTGGGTTTTTTTTTTCAAATTAGTGGAAGACCATTCTTGTTTAGTGTATGTTTAGTTGGTGCGTCATATTTAATTGCTTTTCAGGGGAAATCAATCCATTATTCGAGGTCACTCTCCTTTCTACTCAGCCTCAAGAACCTAATATTAAACACCTCCATTTCAATGGATTGGCGTAAAAAGATTGAAGACATCAGAGTAAATCTTTATTTATACTCCCTCCCCGCTTTTCGGGGAGGGGGTGTGGGTGTTAAGATAACGATCAACTCTCAAACTGGTCCTGCAGCCGATCACCAACCAGGAACAATGATCCGTACGTACACTCAATTGCACAACTCAGCAATTTCATTTCGTGGCCAATTTCATTCCACATTTCGCGCAAGTACAATACCTACATGACTCATTATTGTAAACTGAAGAGTGAAATAGATAATCGAAAATTGCGGTTTGGTAGCGACACAATGACGTCCCACTTTGCTTACATGTACACTTTCTTTTGGGAACCTGACAGCAGCTCCCTTCCAAGTTCCCATAGAACACTGTAAACAACGCATGGCGTTATCATGTCTAGGCCTAATTTATGCTAACAGACCCCTTGCAACAGACGTCACAACTGAGGGCATGTCTTTGTTTTCCTGTGATAGCCATTTGATAGCCATGGGGAGACATCTTGTACTTTCAATTTAAAAAACCGCCCTAGTGAGGGCGCACTGTGAAATGGGTCTATAACCTGCTTGAGTAACTGAAGGGTGTGTGGGTTCAATACGTTCCTACGGAACTGGTTGATGTTGCATATCGTGACGGCAGGGAAGGTGATGCTGGGTACGTAGTTGACGGAGATGGAGCTGGTCTCTGGATACTGGTACATCAGGAGGAAGGCTCGAAAGACGTTGAATATCAGCCAACTTGTCATAACGAGGACCACGGCCAACCATATCAGTCTGGAATATAAAATGCGTTTGTTGTATTAGTTTGGTTTAACAATTCATCGAAGTCGACAGTCGCTGTGTGGACATGCTCAAATATAACAGGTATACCAGTTCTTTCGTTTGCTTATCTTCAATTAGCCCCCTTACACTAATTGTCATGAATCACGACACCACACATACGCATGCCGGTAGACTACAAAAAAGAGACATATTTGATCAGGCATTTAAAGCGACTCTAGGTCCTGAAACAGCCCAATTGGGCTACAAAACGCGCTTCGAACGAGATGATGTTAATCGGAAAGAACATTTGAAATTAGGATTTAAGCATCCATACAACTATCCTTTAAAAACTGAGAACGACAAGAAAACCGTATTCGTACTGCGTCGTGTCCGATGCAAACAATCGTGTTTTTTTTTTCGTCTTTTCTCGGGGACGGTAAGACATATTAGGTTAGTTCCCTTTCAACCAGATGTTTGAAATAGGCTAAGTAAACAATCCAAAACATGAAATTTTGGGGGATTTCCGGACCTAGTGCTCCTTTAATTAGCGTCAACAGCTGAATACATCTGAAAATAAACAAGGTCTACTCAGGTCTATTGAGAGTGTTAAACCAAACAGATACAACAAACGCAAAAAAAGAATGATAAATCAGAATACTTTATGTTGTATAGCAGTCAAGTGTATACCCCGAGAGTATATCTTCCAAGCCAATCACCAGAGCGTATCTCAAGCCAGTTTCATTCAGTGAACATTTCCCAATGAGTGGGAACTTTACTCCATACTGTAGCAAACTGACACCGCAGTGTAACGCTACTGTCTTCATGTGAGAGAGATCAGGAGTTAGTTTATGTTTTCCAGGCTATTTTAAAACGTTTATCATTCGAATTCACCTTTTCTTATAATCACATTTGTCCATCAATATCGACTTAGTGCACTTTCAATGTTTAATTTCGTCTTTTGTCAGCCAATTTCAAATTCAGTTCAACCAAATTCAAACAATGAGCAAATTTTTCTTCCCGGGGTATTCAATTTTGTCTCGTTTACACCAAAACTTATTCAGAAATCAAATTCGTCTAGTGGATCTATATAAAACCAATTCAATCTCTGAATGCTGCAATTCGACTACAGCTTAGACAAAATGTATCCGTAACGACTAATACTCTCGACCCGGTGACGAAAGAGGATGACCAAACTTACAAATCATGAATGCTTAATTAATACATTAGTTTGTTAAATGCGTGTGATTTAAAAAAAAAGAGTTGGTGAATTTGAATAAAAAAAAAATGTTTTAAAACAGTCGGGAAAACCTATATTACTGAATTGGTAACTCATTAAACATTGGGGAGTATGATAAATTGAACAAAAGATCAATCTAACGTTTTGTCACTACTTTTTATCACTATTTTTTTTGAAAGAAGAGAGACGCTGCAGTCGTGTTACAAACTTACAACACAGCTCCAACCTTACTATCGTTGTCATCAAGTTTAGGTGTACAACTTGGGTCAACATTTTTGTCTTATAAAATATCATCACTCTTTTAAAGAGGAGCGTCACATTCGTCTATAAAACAGTTATGTTACGAAATGATATTAATTGGATAGAGCGTTTAAAAATAGAAAATACACGTTCCAACAAAAATATCTTTGGAATCTCAAACAAACTTGCGAAACCGCAACAACGAATCTCGGGATCAAATTAAATATTCTAAATAAGATAAATAGGCATTCCAACACATACATTCTGCGGCAATTTCAGAACGGTATGCCCCTGTTACCACTTCTCATGGGTGTCTGAAATTAACAATAAACGTTTTGCACCTGTTCTACCATAATTGTAAAGATCATTGTCACCGACCTGCGAACGCCGTGGTAGGTGTTGTTGGTAACATAGCGCAGACCGTGAAAGGTCGTCTGATCTCCAAACTTTTTAAAATCGGCCGCTAGATGGTTGCGGTTCCCGTCGTCTGCCATTGATGAATTCACCTTATCCCCGGTGCTAGAGATTGTGAAAATCTTGTTTTCGACTGACATTACGGACGTCTAGTGTTATGAACGGATGTTCTAGTACTAAAAGACGGTCATTGATCTTAAGCAAGATTTATGAAGTTAAATTAAGCCTGTTTATTTTGTCCATGCTCTGTACGACTGCCACTGAAAGCGTAAAATTGTGTCTACCGGTATCATTTGATGTTTATTTGCTTTCCGCTCGACCAATTTTACAATTGCGGGTACAGAGCTGTGCATCGTGTCAAAGATGTTATATAAGAAGCACTGACCATGCTATCGGGATTTAGTGTGGACTGCATCACGACAAGGCTATACGTGAGAGACGTTTGACTTGGAGTGAACCCGTTTATGTTGCACTGCATCGAGCTATTCATAATTGGGTGTGTACAGACTAACTGTGAGACGTCATCTCTAATAAAAACAACCGTACTCAATGTCGAATTGACCGGATCAATGTCGAATTTGTATAGAATATCTGTTTTGTGTACATTTTGTATGATGAAATTTGGCTTATGAGAGATCTGAATTTCAAAATTATGTTGAATAAGTTTTTCACTGTCATCATTTAGCCTATATACCCATTCAGTGAATACGACACCACACGTCAACACATTATAACTATCTTTTGATTAGTACTGATTAAATATAGGTTTTTCCGGCTATTGTAAAATTTCTCGTTCGAATTTACAGATTCCTGTATTTGAATTCGTCCAAAAACATCAATTGAGTGCACTTCTAATTTTTAGTCTTTTGTCAGCCAAATTCATACTCATTCAAAACAAATTTAAACAATGAGCACACGCTCTTTGACCCCGAGTATTCGATTTCATCTGGTATATATATATGAATAAAACCATATAAGTTCTGTATATCAAAGAGCAATATTACGAAGGTGTTTGATCTTAATACTTAATTTCCATGTCATAAGCAAGGAGCATATTATGAAAGGTCTAGTTGTAATGTTAATTGTGAAAACACGGACAAGAAGATTCCAAACTGACGTATGTATTTTTTCAGATTTCCTGGCTATTGTAACGGGCCGAGCAGGCTGGGGCGTGGCGGGGCTACTAATTAAAACAACAACCAAAGAAAACACACATTGAGCAAGACAGAATTCGGGGGCGCCTCCCAGATTTTAGTTTGATAATATACGCAATAACTATTTACAAAGATAAACCAAGAGTAAATTAATAAAAGCAGATAAATATAATATCGGGTGAAACTTACAACTATAAGACCAGTGCAGTGGCGTGGCTGGAGGAGAGCGCACAGCAAACGGAACTTCAACGTAACAGTGTGATAACAAAAAGAAAAGAATGACCAACGCCCAATTGCGCGCACCGGCCTTATATACCCGTAAGGTGCACCCGACCAGAAAAGGTATTAAAGGAATGCAAGATATGTTTGGAGCTTAACCGCTGTGTTGCACGTGGCCAACAGAGTCTTTGTTACACCACCTCCTGCTCCAAAAAGACACGTCCCGTGTCTGTTCAACAAAAATTTAGTAATTATTACAAAAAGTGGGACCTGAAGAACTTGTATTAATTTTATAATTTCAAATATATAATTCTTCAATAATCATTAAACATCTTTGATTATCAAGTAAAAGTCCATAAACTGCTTTTAAAGTTTCTTTGTTTATAAATGAAACTCAATTTTCCAATTCTTAACTTTTAGCAATGTCATAAAAACGTCGTAAATCTTTCATCAATTCCATAATTAAATTACCTTTAAACGTTTAAATATTTCTAGGAACTTTATAGTTTTTCCCTAAAATTCCATTATCAAACGTTTTATGGTTTTTTTTTTTTTCTTCAATTAAATCTTCGATATTATCAATATCGGCATATTTTGAAAACACTTGTTCAACTTGTTTTTTTTTTTTCAAAAGTTTAACGAAAATATACTAGAAAACAATTACATGGGTCAACTAAAATTTACTCAGTAATAACACAAAAATCTCATGGTGTGCTCTACAGATGTTAACATTCCAAATTCACCGTAATGTTGCTTTTTTTTTTTTTTTTTTTTTCTACACAATGATTAATGGTACGGTTTTACACAGAATCTCTAATGACTTGGGACAGTTAAACAAGATTTATCACAATAAAAGATACAGAGAACAGGGAATTTAAGTTACAAAGTCTCTCATCCAGTTGGGAGGTCGCGTTACTCGTCCAGCTCGGGTCCGACGATGACAGAAGGTGTTGTCCTCTTGAGTTGGATCCCCGGTTGTAATGTCCCCAACGACTTGGCCAAAATCGTCAGAGTCAGTCCAGCTTGCGAATTCTCCATCGGTAGTTCCGGACCAACCGATTGGCTGTCTGTCAGCCTGAGTTTCGCCCTGGATCACGGGATTGTCGCCTTCCCTCAGAGTGCACGGCTTCAGTCTGTCAAAGTGGACGACTTGACGCTGGCGAGTAGTACTCGGTACTTGGACTAGGTAGTTCGCGTCAGAAAACTTCTTGAGAACTTTGCAAGGTCCCTTCCACTGACTTCTGAGCTTTGGAGAGAGTCCGATGTATCTCGCCGGGCAGAACAGCCACACGCTATCTCCAGGCTTGTATGGACTTCCATACAAACGACTGTCATACAGTTTCTTGTGTCGTTTCTGCTGCCCGTCAACATGCTGTCTCGCCACCTCAAAGGCCTCCTCTAACCTTGTCTTGACCTCCATAGCGTAGGACTCGGGTCGCTGTACTTTTGCGTCTGGTACTGGACCTGCAAGTATATCTACAGGCAAATTAATCTCCCTCCCAAATACTAAACTATTTGGGGTAGCTCCTGTGGTTTCTTGTTGAGATGCCCTGTATGCCATTAATACATATGGTAAATGCTGATCCCAGTCACTTTGATCCTTTCTACAATACATGCTAAGCATTATTTGTAATGTTCGATTAAAACGTTCCACTAGACCATCTGACTGAGGGTGGTAAGCAGTGGTTCGAGTTTTATCAATTTCCAGTAACTGGCATAGTGTACTGAATAATTTCGACTCAAAGTTTGTACCTTGATCGCTATGAATTTGATTTGGTACGCCATATCTACAAATAAACTGTGTAACCAACACAATCGCTACAGTTTCAGCTTGTTGGTTTGGTAACGCATAGGCCTCAGCCCATTTGGTGAAGTAATCCATTATTACGAGTACATATGTATTACCATCTCTAGTGGCAGGAAAAGGACCCATGATATCTAGGGCTATGCGCTCGAATGGCGCGCCAGCTGGTGCTAACTGCAGAGGTGCTTTGTACTTTTGTTTGGGAGTTTTCCGCGCTTGACATGCGAGACAACTTCTGACCCACATTTCGACTGAATGGCGATAACCTACCCAATAGTAATTCTTCTGAACCTTTATTAGGGTGCGTTTTTGACCAAGATGACCACCTGTACGGGTGTCATGACTTTGTTTCAAGACCTCTTTTTGCAGACTAGACGGAACAACCAACTGAACATTGACTGACCTGTTTTTGAACTGACCTCGACGATAGAGAAGACCATCTTTCAACAGAAGTTGGTCCCATTGGAACCACAAAGACTTTGTTTCTCGTGACAGACCTGTGACTTCTTTACCAGAGGGTCGTTGCCTGTTGTCATCGCTAAGCCAACGCATTACTGGTGCCAGGATGGGGTCCTCACACTGTGCTTTACGGACAGTCTCATGGTTCCAACCTGTAGTAAGAAAAACTCCACAACAAACACCATGAGTAACATTGGAATTACAATCAGGTTCATCGCTCGGGCGTCTGGACAAAGCATCTGCATTACGATGCTTACGTCCTGGGCGATGTTGGATCTCAAAATCAAATGTACTAAGTATCTCCAACCATCGTGCCATCTGTCCTTCTATTTGTTTACTATTGAATAGCCATTGCAATGAAGCATGGTCAGTGCGCACTGTGAATCTTCTACCATAAAGATAATGTCGAAAGTACTTGACATAGGTTACTACCGCTAGTAGTTCTTTTCTAGTAACACTGTATCGGCGTTCAGCTTTGGTCAACTTACGACTGGCATAGCTCACTACATGCTCACTCCCATCTACCTGCTGAGAGAGGACGGCCCCAATACCATCATTACTGGCATCAGTGTCCAAAATAAATGAACGACTGAAATCTGGGTACTTAAGTATGGGAGCAGATATTAAAGCGGATCTTAACTGGTAAAATGCTTGCTCACACTTATCATTCCAAACGAACTCAGTGTTTTTCTCAGTTAAGCAATGAAGAGGTGCGGCTATCTGGGCAAAGTTATCCACAAAACGTCTGTAATAAGAACAAAGTCCTAAAAAGCCTCGGAGTTCTTTTACGTTAGATGGTATTGGCCAATTTCTTACTCTTTGGACTTTCTCAGGATTGGTAGAAATTCCATTTCTAGATACAACATAACCAAGGTACAACACTTCAGTTTGCATCAGTGTACATTTCTTTGGCTTTAGCTTTAAACCTGCCTGTTCTAATGTGTGCAGAACAGTGCTAAGCCTAGCGAGATGTTCATCAAAAGAGTTTGCAAATACAATTACATCATCAAGATATACTAGACATGTTTTCCAATGAAGACCTGTTAGAATGCGCTCCATCAAACGCTCAAAAGTGGCTGGAGCGTTGCATAAGCCAAATGGCATTACGTTAAACTCAAAGAGGCCTGTGCAAGCTGAAAAGGCCGTTTTTGGACGATCAATGGAATCTACCTCCACTTGCCAGTACCCACTAGCTAAATCTAGAGTACTAAACCACTGAGCACCATGGAGAGCATCTAAGCTGTCATCGATTCTTGGAAGAGGATATGCATCTTTCTTCGTAATGTTATTGAGTTTACGGTAATCTATACAGAATCTTAGACTACCATCCTTTTTACGTACAAGTACTACAGGGGATAGCCATGGGCTTTGTGATGGACTGATAACTCCTTTGTCTAACATATCATCTATCTGATCTTGAACCTCTGATCTTTGATGGTAAGGTACTCTCCTAATAGCTTGTCGGATAGGAGGGTGGCTGTCACAATAAATCTTATGTTGTTCCTGATTAGTACGACCAAGTTCGTTTTTTCTTGCAAACACAGATTTATGGCTACGCAGTAACTCACAAACTTTTTGCTCTTGATCTTTTTCAAGTTTGGCACATGTACGATCTAGTAAATCTTCGAAGTCTTCATCTTTACAATCACTTAATACCTCATTGGTCTCGATGTAGTCTGCTAATTGTGAAACATCGTGAGCAGGCTGAAGTAAAGCTAGATTGGTTTCTTTGTAGAGTACAATTGGTTCTGGCTGTACATTAAATACTCTCACTGGGACATACTTGTTGTCTGTATGAACCAAGGAACGGGCTACACAAATGCCTCTGTCTCTAGTCACATTACAGGTTGGTTCAACAATGCCCGATTTACTAAGTGCATTTCTTGTCCTTACTCTGCCGGGGATAATAACCTCTTGCCCGGGCTGTACAGTTACAGTGTGATCTACAACAATGCGACAACAATGAGAGGAATTAGCCTCTTTAACTGTATGTACTGTTACACCGTCTACTGTTAGGTAATTCTTACTCGCATTGATCATACATTCATGGAGGTCTAGGAAATCCATTCCAAGAATACCTGCTGGATTTATGTCGGCCACTACAATATTGTGCGTGGTTTCTAGCTTCCCTATTTGTAAGCTTACTGAAATCTGCCCATTTATTCTAATTGACGTTCCATCTGCAGTAACCATTGACAAATTGCATGGTTGAATTTGGTTTTTGACTTCATCTGGGAAAAGTTGTAAAACCCGTGGATGAATGACTGAATAAGACGAACCAGTGTCAATAAGCATTTTTACGGCAACTCCATACATAACAGTGAATACATATAGACTGGTATTGGGTTGAGTCTTTTGCATACCGGGTGGTTGAGCGTCGACTCCACGAACAACCTGATCTAGTTTAACGCTTGACTGTTAGTTGTTTCAGCAAGGTTTCTATCTGTGGGCATGACATTCGATTCAGATTCCCTTTGTTGTGGAGGCAACTTACAAAACCTACGAATGTGACCTGGCTTTCCACAATTGAAACACCTCCTATCTTTACGTTTCAGAGTTTCTACCAAACCTTGAACAATTTTGATATTCTCTTCAAGTTTTTGCTCTAATCTACTGATCTTTTCATCAACACTCACTGATGCTGGTGAATTTGGCTCTTGTAAGCTTGCAACGCGCTGCTGCTGCAGAGCAGATGTTGTCATGCCTGTCGCGCTAGCTTCAGCTTGTAAAATGTCTTCTTCGCGTTGTGCTGCATGAAGAGCGTCTTTAAGTGTATGTGGGTTTACGCGCCGCACTTCTGCCCTAATGGTTGAGGGACGCAGTGCATCAATGAAGTAGCTAACTGCTAAATGATCAGTGCTTGTTGTCTCCATTTGCGGGTATGCATGAGAAATAAGACTGCGTATATCTTGAGCGAGCGCTGCTAGCTTTTCACCTTGTCTGCGTTCACGCTGCTTGAGTTGTGATCTATATGTATCTACGCTATGTGTTGGGCTAAAGCGAGAGCGCAGTTCACCAACAACAAAATCATATTCATGTTTATGTACATCTGGGATATTTCGATACAGTCTAAGTGCTTCACCTCTTAAACTGACAGCAAGTTGGGTAATTTTATCAACACCTTTCCAATCATTGACTTCACAACACAAATGAAAATGTACAATCCAATCTTTAAAATTTGTTGTCCCGTCAAAATTGCCAGGAAGACGCTGCTTGGATTTATCTACATACACTACACTAGCATTACGACTGTGATTTGTCTGTTCTGTTGGGGGGTCATTCGTTGAACAATTTTTTTCTCCAACATCACGGGAATTTGAACGGTGCTGTCCTCGAGCCACTCCCTGCACAACTTCACAATGAATGGTACTTATTTCAGCCTCTAATTGAGCGATTTCATCTTGAATGGATTTTACATGAGTTGGTGTTGATCGTTCTAAACGAGGATGATCCATATCTGAAAGGTTCACCCCAGAAGTCTGCCTGCTATCCATAATTGTAATACATGTGCTTAAAACATAAGTTTCAACTCGGATATGAGATCCGGGCCACCGCTGCCACCAAAATTTGTAACGGGCCGAGCAGGCTGGGGCGTGGCGGGGCTACTAATTAAAACAACAACCAAAGAAAACACACATTGAGCAAGACAGAATTCGGGGGCGCCTCCCAGATTTTAGTTTGATAATATACGCAATAACTATTTACAAAGATAAACCAAGAGTAAATTAATAAAAGCAGATAAATATAATATCGGGTGAAACTTACAACTATAAGACCAGTGCAGTGGCGTGGCTGGAGGAGAGCGCACAGCAAACGGAACTTCAACGTAACAGTGTGATAACAAAAAGAAAAGAATGACCAACGCCCAATTGCGCGCACCGGCCTTATATACCCGTAAGGTGCACCCGACCAGAAAAGGTATTAAAGGAATGCAAGATATGTTTGGAGCTTAACCGCTGTGTTGCACGTGGCCAACAGAGTCTTTGTTACACTATATTGCTTTTCAGTCGTTGATAAAATGAGGTTCTCCCGGATACAATAATTGTGCATGTTTACTTGACAGGAATAAAAAAAGAAAACAGGTTATTGAAACCAGTGAATTTGCTAGAACGTAGCTAGAGGGGGTAACGTGGGAGTCGGGGAGTCGCCAACTGACGCACGACATTGTGGGAAACAAAACAAATACATAAATAAATACATAAATAAATAACCTTTCAATATGAAAACGAATAAAAAAAAATAAAAAACGGGAAAATATAACATCAGTGTTTTTGTTTGATTGTTTGTCCCAGTTACTTTGTCTCCGATTCAGACTAACAATACCTCGGCGTGGAACATAGACACATCCTGTCTCTTGAGCTGTAGAGTAAACAAAGGAAGGCGGACTTTATCATGGCGATATTTTGTTTCTCTTTTGCATTTAATTCATAAGGCATACATAACAATTTCGTAATTTTGAGGGATTTTTTTTATGATGCAAAACATACCCCCGGATTTAGTCCACATCTGTTTATAGCTTGTAGGTGTTGTGAACAATTCTGTGAATCAAATTAAAACTGTGAACTAGGATTTTTTGCTTTGCAATGACAACGTCATATGCAGGCGAAACATAAACGTTAAGTCTACTTTCCAAGTGCTGAATGCAGACAGCAAGTACGATGGCAAGACGCACGCAGTCAGGGAAGTCACAATTTATGAAGTCATTCCTGCAAAAACGTATAAAAAGGTGTTTGTTCAGTGGTTCCGCCCGGGGGGGGGGGTGTACCCACTGCTCCCCCCGGATAAGCCACTTTCGACCGACCGACTGACCGACCGACCGACCGACCGACCGACCGACCGACCGACCGACCGACCGACCGACCGACCGACCGACTGACCGACTGACTGACTGTTAATTCTAATTGAGACTAGTGAAGAGAACATAATGATTGGTTCATTTCGGTCCATAGTGTAGACTATATGCATGGAAAGACTGCCAGTGAATAAAGGGGTGAGTGAAAAAGAAAGCGACTATCTTACAGAAAATATTTCAAACATGTGACTCGCTCCATTTCATGGAGCACCTTTATTTACACATAAAAGGAAATATATGTTGAAATTATTATTTTATTAATGCCCACAATTCTTCAAATAAGTCCAAAAATGGGCACAGTTTTTAATCGTAACGTTTTTAAGTCACCAGAAACAAAATGTAATGAGAACAACATTAAAAAAAAAACACCCAAAAAACCAGGAATTTGCTTTTCGAATTCATCGCCGATTTCTCTACTCGAGATGAATTTCACAATTGTAATTTGGTGCATTTTAAATATATAGGCATGCCCCATTCGGTTCGTTAGCAAAAATGTCATACTCACGCGCACCACTGATTACTAGCTTTTAATGGAAATAAATGTTTCTGAAATTGAATTGAATATGAATTGAGGGCGCCCTAATATTGAGGCTTTTCCCCCACAAGATGGCGGATTTTTCAAGATGGATTCTTCCACTGTTTCAACTCTAAAGATGATTTAAGATTGAGTCCAAAGGAACCGTAATCTTTTCTACATTGGCAGTTTTGTTGGAAACAAATAAAAAGACGAATATATTGACAACATTATTTGCAAAAGATATCGCAAGAGTATGAATAAGAAAACAAGAGAAGAATGGGGAAAAGGAAGCGGGCGGTTAAGAATCTTGTATCGTTTTTGCCTTGCCTCAAAGAGCCCTGGATTCACACCAGGGGCTTTCACGCTACCAGAATGTCGGGCTTTTAGGGCTTTTACACCGCTAGGAATCAACACGGCTTTCACACGGGTCTAGCAGTATACGCGGGTAAAATCCAACCCCGGTCTGGGCCGGAGTTGAGAGGCTCTACCCGGGTAGGATATCTAAAATGCACAGCCCACCCATGAACAAGTGTGAAAGGTACGCCTTGCCGACCCGTGTTCGTTGGGACCCTTTACCGCTAAAGTTGGACCCACGTTGATTATTGAGAAAGGCATCGCTACGTGTACTAGTTTGCTTGCACATGTAGATTAATTCACTGAATGCTATTGACCGCTTATGTAATTGGACTATTTTTTATTATGAAATATTGTATGGCAATCTGTCACACTCTACAACATAATGGCAAGCAGTATTTCCCCGTAGGTATTATTTTGTTAATTTGTTTCTTCAAAAATACTCTGCATCTGTTGGCAAATACTGGACAAACAAAATGGGGAAAGGGGGAGGGGGAGGGGGAGGGGGGGGGGTAACATCGATGGTCATCGCCATATGGGGGCTGCAGAAATATACAGTGCGTCCCAACATACCCGCAACATGTTTTTTTGGCAAGGCTCTAGCGTCTCCGCGGAAACACGTACCGCAATTATTTTTAAAACAATTAAAGCTTGGAATCTTATAAAACCTATGTCCATGGTAAGTATTGGTTTGATTTTCCAAAAGTGTTATTAAATTATTCGTGTTCAAATAAAAGCATGTCAAAAACTCAACCGATTTCAAGGAAAATCAATCATGCCCATTTTTTTTCTAATGTGGTAATGGTTCATCGTGTTCATGATGTGACGATCTCGTTGCCTTTTACTTTCTGTGTTTTTTTTTTTTTTTTCGATCCACGTAGACTACGCCTTGAATGAAGTCAAAATATTGTTCTTCGTTTCAATTTCAATTTTTAAATTCAGGTGAAAGTATGTATCTATTCCAAAAACGCTCTTAAAGTGTGGCTCGAGACTGCATCTGATGTATCGCATCATCGATTTTCCTTGCAATCGGTTGAGTTTGTTTACATTCGACACGCCTTTATTTGCACACAAATAATTGTAAAACTTTATGAAATATCCAACATATACTCGCCAGGGATACGGTTAAGATTCCAAGCTTTAATATGGTATGAAATAATGGCAGTACGTGTTTCCGCGCAAATGCTAGAGCCTCGCAAAAAATGTCGCCGGTATTTTGGGACGCGCTGTAGTCAGAAAGCAATCATTTTTCAAGACTAAATTAATAATGCCATCAAATATCCACTAACATGCAATACAGAGCAGCGGAATACTTTTTTTCGCACTTCGTTTGAAACGTTTGACATTTGTTTAGCGATTGAATTGTGATGAATTGTGATTGACTTTGTGGTAATTTGTGATGACTTTACGGAAAACATCTTCCCAAGCAAAGCTTTAAAACATATCAAAGTATTTGACAGCATGGAACTCGGACATCTTGGGCAGGAAACTTAAGGGGACTGGACACGCTCTGATAGTATAGGTGACCCTGTTCGTCATGAAAACCTTTCCGTCTAATTAATACACTTTCCGTCCTAATTAATGATGAGTCAAGTGCGACCGAGTTAAATAGAAATGGGCCCCATTGGGAATCCAATATTTGGTGTTTATATTAAAAGTTACATGAATACAATTTTCAAGTTTAAAAATAATGGACATTGACTGTGTGCATAAAGATCAAGTTGAACGAAGAAATTGACTGGAGCGTGATTTGAGCCTGCAACTGCCAGGCAATTTCTCTGACTGGATTGACACTACAGCCAACCTCGTCCCCAGTGCTTACTTTATTTCCAACCTCGTTTCCAATTGTAGGCCCTGGATAGGAAACTTTCTTCCTGTATCCCGATTCGATACCGCATTTGGTTAGTAATGGATTTATATCGTGTAGTTGGTATTGTTATTTCCAACGTGCATTACGTGTTTTCACGATCATAAATTACTAATTTCCTTAACAATCTGCTCGTATTAATATGAAATGTGATATGGCATATTTGTGGAATAAGATTGTAACCTTTAAACTTTGAAAACAATCGTGGTTTTGTAACTCACGGCGCGACGAATTGATTGTGTTTTTACCCCCAGACACCGCATACAAAAGCAAACGCTAATGTAACGTACAAGCATGCACCAAACTATTCCTCATTTGCATACGTGTGCAAAAAAAATTGCACCTGCAAATGATCCAATACCAGGGGAAAAGTGCAGGTAGTGGTGGGCGCGTACTGCTCGACACCCTGGGGACGAGGTTGCACTGGAGCCTTCTTATCACGCTACCCAAATCTCGGGATTTACACTAGCTAGGATCCAATACGGCTTTTACACGGGTCTAGCACCCTATGCACGGGCAAAATACAACCCTGGTCGGGACCGAGGCAGTTGAGGGTTGCAGACCAGTAAATCGGTCCGAAATTGCCTGCGCCGGCCAAATCACGATTTGCATGCCCTCAAAATCTTCAGTATTTGAGCATGATGTGGGCCATGAACTTGAGGGTTTGTAAAAAAAAAAAATCGGTGGAAGCCGTGCACAAGGACTGTGAGCTTGAAGTTCCGTTCAATTTGGATGAAATTGGGGCCCTTAAAGCGCTCTATTTTGCAATGGAGTGTAGGCATCGTTTTTCAACATGGCGATGGGCTTCAGGACTATTTTCAGGGGTGATTATCTTCGGATGAAAATTTCTCCTAAAAGTCATCAGTTAACCCCAAAAAAATTAAAAAGAAAATGAAAGATGATGAAATAAGCTTTAACTTGATGTGTGTCTCGAACACCTTGGAGAGTTATGAGTATTTCTCCCGAATTTCTGAATTGTGAGCAGGGGTCTATGGAAGTTTATTTACTGGTCTGCAAACTGAGAGGCTCTACCTGGGTAAAATGTCCACAATCTACAGCCAACCCATGAACAAGTTAGACAGTACGCCTTGCGACCTGAGGTTGTTGTTTGACCTGTAAAACATCTAAAGTTGGACGGACGCGTGTTAATTTCTACACGTGTAGCTACGACGATAGTGTGAAATATCCTTAGGAAGTGGCCACATGCGCTAATTTAGTTTGCTATAACATGTAGATTAATTCAACGAATGCTAATGACCGTTTCTGTAATTTGCAGAATTAGTATTAGAATAGAATATATAGCAATCTGTCACAGATACGCAACAGATGGTTTCGACGTATTTTGGTAGTATTTTGGTAATTTGTTTCTGTAACAATACTCTGTCTCGGTTGGCAAATCCTGGACGAACAGAATTGGGGGGGGGGGGGGGGGGGGGGTAGCACTGATGTACACTGCCCTAAGGAGGAGGCAGTGATATAGTGTTAAATCAATCACAATTCAAGCATACATTAATTAATAAACATACATCAAATCTCAAGTAACAGGGATGCAGGCCAGCAGAATGTTTTTTTTAACAGTTTGTTTGAAAAGCTTGACACTTGATTATAGAAATTGAATTGTGATGACTTGTGATGACTTTATTACATTTTGGGTATGACCACGGACCTCATTTTCCGATGCTAAGCTTAAAATCACAACAAAGTATCTTACAGTAGGGAATTCGGAAAGCTTGGGGTTAGAGTGGGGACTGGACAATTATATGGGTATTGATATTTTATTTTTTAATTAAACCAGAGCAGGATACTGACTGGGTGCATAAAGATAAAGTTGACCAAACAAATTGACTGCAGCGGAATGTGAACCTGCGACCTCTGGTCATATTCTTATTATCTTTTCAACTTCATAACATTCATAAGATGGAATTTTGCGCCGGGGTGATGTAAATCAAATTAGGTGTTTTGCCCTTCATCGACGTATAAACACTGTACACTCAGTGTGTTACCTCCCGAGCGAAAGTTTGAAAAATCAATCGGGTGGGACTCGAACCCACGACCTCCTGCATTCTAGTGCAGATGTCTTACCACTCGACTTATAACAATGAAAAATAGGTCGAAAGTTAGTGAATTGTTGTAATAAATATGATGTTTCTACCATCTGTAACCAGCAAATGGCGTCATTAAAAAAAAAATCGTAAAACGGGCGCAAACCTCTATCCTTTCGTGCTCTGCTTTCCGGATAAAAAGTAGGTTACTTCTTTAATTGTATATAGTTTATTAATATTAGCATTTTATGGAGGGGGATTTTTACATTTGTTGGTAATTGCGCTTTCCAGTCATCGTTAGAAGTATTTAGTTGGTGCCCCGGATATAAGCATGCACATTTACTTTGCTAGGACGTGACTAAAGGGGACGACGTGGGAGTTGGGGTTGTCGCCAACTGACTCACAAACTTCCGGAGGGAATAACAAAATAATTGTTCAATATGAAAACGAATAAATAAATAAATAATAGTACCCGGAACATTCCATATTTTTACCATCTGTTGTACATTTGTTATATATTAACCCAGTTAATTTGTCCCCGATTATGACTAATAATGCATCTGCGTGGAACATGGTTATGCCCTGTCTTTTGAGCAATTGTCGTTTTCCATGAGCATTCACTGAAAAACAAATTAGTTCCGATTACAGTCTTCCAAAGAAGCTAAAAAGATGTGAAATGTTTTGTATCTCTCATAGATGACTGAAATGTACATGCCCGTGCTCGTCTAACTAATGAAATTGCTCTCAAATGTGTAAAGGTACCTAGAAGATCAAATTTGTATTGACGTGAACTGTAAAGAGGATTTGATTGTTTTTTACTGTAGAGTAAACAAAGGAAAGTGGATTTTATCCTGTTTTCTGTTTTGCATGTAATTCCTGAGGCATGGGCCTATAGTAAGCTTCGTTCTTTTGAAAAGGAAGAATTATATTTTTGTTATGCAAAACAAAACCCGGAACTAGTCTCCATCTGGGAATAGCTTGAAGATGCGACGAATATTGATGTGAATCAAATTAAAACTGTCATGGCGATATTTTATTCTGTTTTGCTGAGCCAAATGTTCTGTTTTAATGAACCACATATATAATCATTGTTGCACTTTTGGTAATGCAAATCACACACCCGGACCTAGTCCCCATCTGTTGATAGCTGGAAGATATAGTTACAATTTCTGTGAATCAAATTAAAACTGTGAGCAAGGATTTGTTTTGCTTTTCAATACAAAGTCGTGCAGACGCAGCATAAACTATAACTCTAGTTTTCAAGTGCCGAGTGCCGTCAGCACGTAAAAAAAAAACCCAAATGGCGTTCGAACTTTGAAAAAGGATATGTATTTAAAATGGTATTTTTTAATGTTTCCAGGAGGCCAGCCAAGTGACTGTTTGGTAACGATTTGACAGAATGACTGTCTAAATTTTCGGCGAAGTTTTCGATTTGGAAAGTACACTGTAAATGAAAGTTGGGTTAAACATTGGTGGGCAAAGTTATTTGCCCAACTTTGGTATACATTGGTCCAATTGAAGGTTAATTGAGGTAAAAACAATTAACCAATTAGTGTGAATAATTTTCCCAACTGTACTTCAGACGGCTTTGTTTACCCCTTTTTCCCCGGGGTGGGGGCGAAATCAAATATTGACCTGATTGATTGAGGAAGGACCTTTTTCTTCATAAGGTACTCATTGAAATACCTGGATTAAAACGTTTAATTTCATCGTGAACATAGTTTGTGTTGCTAGAAAATTAGCAAGTACAAAAAGGAAGTCTATTTTCGGAATTTAATTGAAACAAAGCAATATTGTATTTAAGGTTAATCGTTAATCAGAGTGGAATCAAAGACAAACGTAAAAAAATAAATGACGTTTTTGTGGTTCCTTCAGTGAGCACTTTCAAAGCATTTGTCTTAAAATTTTAAGGAGTTTTAATTATTTAAACCGTTGTCTCCTAATCTTTTATTATCATTGTGAATGAAATAGACCGGAGACAAACTGTGTACTTTTGTTCTAACTCTACTGTCATGTTCAACAACTTTCCATGTGCTTATTTCCCATAATGCACTTGTGAGTGTTCTATTGAATTGTGTTCCCAAATGGTGTGCTATGAGATATTGTACTCAGGATACTACAATCATATTCTCAATGTAAATGCACGTCACAACTAGTTAGAATTATACTTGGTATCGTCCATGAAAATTATTAATCTCTGAAAATACTGACCAATCATGGTGCTAAGAGAGGATAACATAATAGGTAGTTTTAAGTGACACACGAGCAACGTTTTGAACTGTTTTCGTGGGAAATACGGCTCTGGCCACACCTCCAACCTCCAATGGCCAATTAAAACACACGACGTGACGCTCGAAGCCAATGAAACCTTACAGATGTCGGGTGCGTATTGTACCAAACGAGGACCAATCGAGGGTTTATAAGCGGTGCCTCTCACTCATTGCCTCATTCCGCAACTGTATTTTGGCTTGTCACACTCATTGGTAGGAAGACAACTCGTAAACAGCATGGCTTTCATTCGAGTCGTGTGCTTCGTCCTGTTGGTGGGTTTGGCCGCAGCGTGTCAACCACGCTGCCCCAAGTGTCCACCGATGTGGACTTTCTACAATGGCAACTGCTACCGTTACTTCGGCACTGGCAAGACCTACGATGAAGCTGAGAAGCACTGCCAGCAGTTCACTCAAGTCGGCCAGGGTCACCTGACGTCCATAGCCAGCGCCGACGAGAATAATCTTCTCCTCGCGCTATGGAAGTCGGCCCGTGGAACGACATCAGGCGGCCTGTGGATCGGCTTCAACGACTTGGCAGAGGAAGGGAACTACATCTGGACAGATGGATCAGCGGCCAGCTACACCGAATGGGCCGATAACCAACCCGACAACCACAGTGGTAACGAGCACTGTGTTCACATGCGGCAGGATGGAAACAACGCATGGAATGACATCGGATGCGGCCAATCGTTCTCCTACTTGTGCAAGATGACCACTACTAAATAAATGGGCCACACAATGGACGACCACGGAGATGCGATTTGCCACATTAAACCCGGAGCCCTCATGATTGATACCAAGTCGATGTTATCGGCTATGATCGCCAAACAGTATTACCCAACGGACACTCACAAACAGTATCACTTGCAAACTAAACGTATATCGATCCCGCAACGGATGACAACGGAGATGCGATAACCACGAACACAACGTCGATGTCATTGGCTACGCTCACCAAACATTCTTACTAGACAGACACTCAAGAAAGGTATTATTTTAAACTAAACGGTTGAATTTCATTGTGTAGACTGCTGGCTGGCTACACGGTGAAAAAAAAATCGTTTCCATAACCCACTTCGCATCTTCGTGGCTTCAACGTTGACGAACCTGCTGCATGCTTTAAATTTGAACATTTAGTTTATAGCTTTTGTTCGTTTCATCAGGTGTCCAGCTTAAGAAAAATGGGAATCCGGAAGATGATCAGAATCATCGGTGAACTAATTTGCTGATTAGACAAACAGTATCACTTTAAAACTAAACGGTTAAATTTTCATTATGTAAACTGCTGGCCGGCTACACGGTGAAAAGGAAATCGTTTGCACTTCGCATAATCATGGCTTAAACGTTTAAGAACCTGCGTACTTTCAAATTTAACATCTGGTAATTTGGTTTTAACTAAGTTTCCAGTGTAATAGTGAGACAAATTTCAGTAAATACTACAACCATTGGTGAACTAACCTGCTGGTTTAGGCCTACGCTTAAGCTGCACTCGTATCTCAAAGCAATTGGGAACCAACGAACTGAGTAACTTGGGAACATTTCTCAGAGCTGATATGTACAATTGTTTTATTTTAAATTCCAATTCCTCATATTAGAGGCTTTAACATCATTACCTCAATTTACTGGACACCTTATTTGAATTTTTAATTCATTTACTCTTGGATTCTCCTACAATTTATTTTGTCGTTTAATGTTCAATTTCTTGTTCAATTTTGTTTTTGACATTTATTTTTGGACGTTTAAAGTTCAACTTCTTGTTATTTTTTATGTATTGGTAGAGGATATTTGTTGGTCAATTCTGCCGTTCAGGTCGGATAAAACAATCAATGCAAAAACGATTACGTTGATGAATAGAAAACAACCCCGGATTGATTTTACTTCATGCAGACCGCACCCGATAAACTCAGTTCATTCTAGAATAATTTGCAACGAAAAACATCAGAACCATGGCCGCTTTTCATTGCTGAACCTACCCACCGACAAATTACCACTGATGATGACGGACATGTTGAAGTGATTTCCTTAAGATTTAACATTCTAAACTTTACATTTTCCTGTCATCATTATCCACGATTGAAGGTCTCAAAATAGTTTCAACGTGTTTTCTTAATTTTGTTTTTTAAAATCTTTTTCCTATTCTTATGTTGACTATTTTTTGTTGCTTACTTTGGTTGATATCTTACATGATCGATCTTATTTTACTCCTTACTAATCGTAGATTAAAAATGTTGCATGATAGATGTCGTTTAGATTGCATTTTATTTTTACCGTAAATGTCCTCATACGGGCAATAAGTATCAAGAACTGTCCCATGCCGTATTCAGCTACCTTAGGATTGATATCTTCCTTGAAAGATAAAGTAAGTCTAATAAGGTGAACAAACAGATAGTCACACAGTATTAGCTCACAGCCAAAAGTTGGGTATTCGATGTTGTTGTTGGCCGCGTAAGATCCATAAGGATCATGCCACCGCGCCTTGGTCAGCTTGTTTCAGGCGTGTCCGTCCTTCCTCGCGCCACTTCTTCTCTGCTGCAGCTGCCCCCTCGTGGACCGCTTTCCGCCACGCTTCTCTCTCAGCAACAAACTCCTCCACTCCGCGTTTCTCTATCTGGCAGTGTCGCAGATCGTCCCGCACGCGGTCTTGGAAACGGAGTAGTGGTCTCCCTCGAGCTTGGGCTCCAGTGCTGACTTCGCTGAAGAGAGTAATTATCCGGTCCCGTGGCATCCTAGACATGTCCGAACCATCTGAGCCGGCACATTGTGTGCGCTGCAGGACCTCCAAGCTTGACATTCGATCCGACTACTTGACGCTCAATATCACACTGTAAAAAAACACCTATTTAAATGTGACTGGAAAATAGTCATACTTGTACGCAGGAGTCTGATTCCTAGTCAAATTTAACTAGTAGGAGTGTTTTCAGAGTTCATGATTGTTCTTGGTTTAAACCCACAGCAGGTTTAGCCTTATCCCAAGAGTTCCCCAACTCGATCTCGTTTATAACCCCTGGGACAGTAGGTGGCGCTGTTCATAGAGCCGCATAAAGACCAATCGGAAAAATGAGTGATATAGCCCTTCCACACCTGGTGAAAGAGTGCGGGTGAGGGGAGGGGAATATCCCCCAAAACCATCGGGATTGACGCCCTTGCATTGGAAAGTCTGATTGTGTTTTCAAAATGGGACAAACTAAATTGTAATACTACATTGTGTGAAGCACTAAATCATTACTAAAACTATCTCAGGCGCAAAAGGATAACTAATCGGACACACGATTATTTTTGTGACAGGTCGATGATTTCGCAGTCTGATGGTGCCTCTTTCAGCGCATGAGTTTTAAATATCATTTGCTCAAAGGGGGTGTGGATGGGGGTCATGGGCGTCGCGAGGCGGAGGGAGGCAAGCGGGCACTCCCCCCCCCCCCCCCGGACAAGCAACAACAAACAAGCAAAAAGGCGGGGGGAAAGGGAAAAAACTAAACATAAGGCGCGAAATCATATTATTGTTATTTTAATGGTTTTATTGGGGGGGGGGGGGCAAATGTCCCTGCCCACCATCGAAAAAATGATCAATTGGGAAAATGCTGGAAAATATAGGGATTTGGGGGGAAAATAAGATTTGCTCGCCTCTAGAAAAAATCCTGGCGACGCCTATGGTGGGGGTGGGGAGGTGTCTGGCCACCATCTTCCCATGGAGGCGCTGCTTAAAGAAGACGATCATGGGGACTGTCGGGAAAAGGTGGCGCTCTTCATGGCGGCACAAATACTGACATTCGCGGGATGTTCAAGCATGGGCACTCGTGATAAAAAAAAAACACCCGTGAGAAAAAGAACTTTAAAAACCTTAAACACCCCCCCCCCCCCCCACCCGCTGCCTCCCCCCCCCCCCCCCATGCCTATGGGCCATGTTACATTCCAGATTTTAGTGTCAACTCGTGATACCTGACAATAAATTGAATCAAAGTTTCATTTATGGACAATAGTTTAAGACCTACATATTTCACTCGAATTTTTTCCCCAGTTTTTTTATGCTTTTACCTGACATGTCTAAAGCTATGGTTGAAAAACAAATTTAAGGTCTAATTCACTTCGAAATTGAAATTGTATAACCCATCCTCAATTCCATTATGGCAAAATTAAAATTTGGTAAATGAGATTTAAGGAGTTGCTGTGTCCAAGACCCTAACTTTCATTTTTACCTGATATATGACTGATGTTGAAAACGTAGAGCAAAAGGTAAATGAAAAAAGCTTAGAAACAGAGTATATCGCTATTTTAAGGAAACATAATATAAATAGAATTAAAACGTAACACATGTTTGCAATCGGCCATCAACGGTCAGGGTATGTTGCACTTATACATTTTTCCTTTACAAATTGTTAGATTTTATACTTGGCAATAACCAGATGAAGCGCAAAATCCTGCAAAATCGTCTTAATTCCGAAAAATCGTTTATTTTGCCGGACTGGTGATCGACAAACAGCGGCTGTGCAAGATAAACAACGCCCGCTGTTGACAAGCGATGAAAATGGGAATCCCCATTTCTGATCCAAATGTTATGCTGGCCCTGAACTCGTGAATATTTTCGCGACGTCCTAAATATTTTTGCGACGTCGTGAATATTTTCGAAACGTCTTGAATATTTTTGCAACTAGTCGTGAATTTATTCACGACGTCGTGAATATTTTTGCGACGTCGTGAATATTTTTCGCAACGTCTTGAATATTTTTGCTATTTTTTACGACTAGTCGTGAATTTATTCACGACTAGTCGTGAATATTTTCACGACTAGTTGTGAACATTTTCGCGACGTCATGAATGTTTTTCCGACGTTGTGAACAATGTCGCGAAGTCGTGAATATATTTACGAACTAGTCGTAAATTAATTCACGACCATGAATTCACGACTTGTCGCGAATTTTGTTGCGAAATTTTTTTTTTCAGTAGCATGGGGTGTATTAAAACCGGCAATAGAGGACTGTTTTCCGATGATAAGCGCATCACTTCAGGTGAGTAATAATAGTTATAGAGTCGGACAGCCCCACGCCAAAAGATTCTTTTTCTGATATACCAACTGCGTCAAGTATGAAGCCCGGTGCATAGTCGGCGCGAAAGCGAATGCGAATTTGTGACGTAATGGCAAGTATTCGCGCTCTGAATTCGTAAAAGTTGAACACATTTGAACTCGGGCGTGAATTTCACAGGGAATGTTTCATGACGTCTAATTCGCTATGAACCGGGTTTTAGGCAGGCAAATTTTATATCTTCATTGTTATCCCATCATGCACACGGTAGAACTCTTCAAGTTATGGCTATGTTTTACGACAAAAAAATCACAACTAGTCACAAAAATTTTAAAGACGTCGCAAAAAAAATATTCATGACGCCGAAAAAAATATTCGTGGCCGGTCATGATAGATTCACAACAAGTCGCAAAAATATTCACGACATCCCGAAAATATTCCTGACTAGTCGTGAATAAATTCACTATTAGGCGAAAAAGGGTCACGACGTCGCAAAAAAATATTTGCGACCGGTCGTAAATAAACTCAAAACTAGTCGCAAAATTCCCAACGTAAATTCGGGGCCACCATATACTGTGTGAGCTCCCGCACGGCACGTACATGATACACGTACACAGATGTAACAGTTTCATTAAGAAGTTACCTTGGTTTGAAATTATTAAGTGAAAAACTTCAACAGGCATGTTCTGTGTAGGTTTTGTATGTCATGTTGAGTCGCTAATAGCTGAAACTTTCTTTTAAAATAGAAGAAGAAAATATTGTGATCGTAACCTATTCGCTAAGAAAACGTATATTGACCCCACGTTCACGAGGTACACTAGTGCAAATTGCTTAGAGTTTCTTAAATGAATACAAAATGTTTGGTCTGAGGCAGCATTATGTCAGAAAATATCAAGTTGCCATCACCGCAAGTCTCCCACACACACAAAAATCTTACTTTGGCTTTTGTC